GCCCGGCCTCGGCTCCCTCGCCCTCCCCCTCACGGCCTCCTCCCCTCCCGCCACCAGCCCCGCGGGGCCCGGCCGCTCTCCGGTCCCCCTTCCGTACCTGCACATCTTCATTGCGGAGCTCGTCGATTAAAACCGCGATGGGGTACAGCGAGTCATCCCCGTCTCCGCCGGCGGATCCCGGGCCGGTCCCAGGCCCCGCTGCGCCCGCCATGTTCTTTCTCCTCCGGCTCGTCGCCGTCGCCCGCCCCGCGCCAGGGCCCCGCCCCGAGCCTGGGCCCCGCCCCGCGCCCTGACTCCGCCCCACACCAAGGCCCCGCCCCGCGCCTGGGCCCCGCCCCGAGCTCCGCCCCACATCGAGGCCCCGCCCCTCCCCCGAACCCCGCCCCTCCAGGCAGGCAGCCCTAGGGTTCCCGCACGAGCTAGGCGAAGTTGCAGAGGTCAGGTCCCTCTTCTGATGGTGGAGACCTCCGCCGGACCCCCATTGTAGTTGAAGGTGTGAACCCCAGAAGAACGATGGGCTGAGGAAACGAATGGAACCCCTCTGTCCCTTCCCCAGCCGAAAGAAACAGGGGCAGGGATTCATCCTGGCCGTGGTGGCCAGAGGGAGCCAGGGACCCGAGTGACACGGGCGGCGGCGTCGCGGGACTCGGCGGGGCTGGGGCGGGGCCGGAGGCACGGAGGGAAAGGGCTGGGCCTCTCCGCCCGCGTGCTGGCCCCGGGCCCGCGGGGGCCGGCCCTCTCCCCCGGGGTATCTAGCCTCCCCGCCCCCAGCCCCTCCACCCCTTCCTCCGGCCTGCGCGAGAGAAAACTCCCCAGTCAATGTTGTTTCCCTCGTGCAAGCTGTTGGAGCCATGCTGCTCCCTTGTTTTCGTGTTTCCTTTCAGTTTGGTACTGGAACGGAGCCTTCTGTTGTATTTTCTTCCTCCCATTTTTTAGCTCTTTAGCATGCACGAAGTACAACAATCAAGCAAAACCAGGACAAGCTTTAATGCTTCCAAACTGGGCCGGGCGGCTACTTTCCTGTAAAAGAAAGCCTGGACTGGCCTCTCTCGACCTTCAAGAGGGCCCCAGGCCTGGAGCTCTTCTAAAAGTTATTTTTTCATATATGACTTTCCCAATTATCTTTAGCTGCACAAAGGGGCTCCAATTCAACATGTCAACTTATAAGTACAAAACGTTCTGAATGAAAAGGTTTTACTTACACGTCTTAAGCAGCATAAAATAACTACAAAGGCCCTGGCCTTGTTTGTTCTGGACTGGAACATAAGCGAGTTAGAAAGATAACTGGGGCTGGGATGTAGCTCAGTGGCAAAGCGCTTGCCTAGCAAGCGCAACGTCCTGGGTTCGATCCCCAGTACCAAAAAAGAAAAGACAAAAAAAAATACAGTTAAAAAAAGAAAGAAAGAAAGATAACTGCACGTGATGATGGAAAGCTTTAAAATATCTTTAGGTGTCTGGTTTTTAAGACTACAAAGTTATCAATAAATGCAATTAGGAGATACGTACTTTTTTCAAAAAAGCATGAGATTCCTGGCAGTATACACAGTAGACAGAGCCTTTGACAGTAAAAATTAATGAATCAATAGTTAGAATCAATAGAATCAACAGTTTTCCTCACATTAGGTACATGGGTATATTCTCTAGGGTTTTAATCTGGCTTTCATTTCAGTAAACTTTTAGATCTGAATAAGCATATTCTGGATTTTGACAAGTACTTTAAATCAGTTTTTTCAAAAAGTGAGTTTACTACCTACAGTTGCATGTGTTTCTGTGCTATCTCTCCTGGGATAGTAAACCAGGCAGGATTGTTAAAGTCTGTAATCCTAACTAATTGGGAGGCAGAAATCAGGAGGATCAAAGTTGGAGATCAGCTAACACAGAAAGTTCTCAAAACCTCCTCCTCTCTCTCTCTCTCCTCTCTGTCTCTCTTTCTGTGTGTCTCTCTGTCTCTGTCTCTCTTTTGCCAGTAGTGGAGCCTGAACTCTGGGCCTGGGTGCTGTCCCTAAGCTCTTCATCTCAAGGCTAGTGCTCTACCACTTGAACCACAGAGCCACTTCCAGCTTTTTCTGCTTATGTGGTGCTGAGGAATCGAACCCAGGGCTTCATGCTTGCAAGGCAAGCAAGCACTCTACCACAGAGCCACCTTCCCAGCCCAAGACCTCACCTTAAACAATAAAATGCTGAATGTGCTGCTTCATACTGATCATCCCAGTAGGATCAAATCCTACAAAGGAGATTCACAGGGAAGAGAAGGGAAGGAAAGGGAAGGCGAGGGGAGGCGAGAGGAAGGGAAGGAAAAAAGCGAAAGAGAAAGGAAAGGAAGAGAAGGGGAAACAGAAAGGAAAGGAAGTGAAAAGGAAAAATGGGGAAAGAAGAGAAGGAAAGGAAAAGGAAAGGATAGCAAAGGAAGTAATGCTTTTATACACAAAAATGAGAGCCAATGACATCATGGTTCTGTGTCTATAGTTTGTTGTTTTTTTTTTGTCGGTCATGGGGCTTGAACTCTGGGCCTGGGCGCTGTCCCCCAGCTCTTCAGCTCAAGGCAAGCGCTCTACCACTTGAGCTACAGCACCACTTCCAGTTTTCTGGTGGTTTATTGGAGATAGGAGTCTCACAGTCTCTCCTGCCCCGGCTGGCTTTGAACCGCGATCCTCAGATCTCAGCGCCCTGAGTAGCTAGGATTACAGGCGTGAGCCACCAGCGCCAGGCTGTGTCTATAGTTTTTAAAGAGAAAGAAACATCTTAGATCACTGTAGGCTTGATATATTCTAAAGAAGCTGTATTTTACTGGACACCAGTGACTCACACCTGTAATCCTAGCAACTCAGAGGCTAAAATCTGAAGATCATGGTTCAAAGCCAGCTTGGGTAGGAAAGTCCATGAGACTTTTATCTGCCATTAAACACCAAAAAGCCAGAAGTTGGGCAAGTAAAGTGCTAGGGGACAGAGCCCATGCCTTGAGTTCAAGCTCCAAGACCAGGAAAAAAAAAAGAAAGAAAGAAAGCTGAGCTTTAACAGGCAGTAGCATAGTTTAATACAAAGGTTTGTTTACTTTTAGCAAAAGACATCATTTGTCATGCTTAATTACCATAACATTACAAATTTGAATAATATTAGTCCTGTGGTTTTGTTGGTACTTAATTTGTAAATTGGTTGTTTTTTTAAGAATAAGAATAATAAAGAAGATAATTCCTGGTTTATTTGTAAACCTTAGTAACATTTAATAAGAACAAGTTGGTTGAAAGTTTTCAGGATGTTTTTTTCTTTTAAAAAATGGATTGAGCTGGGTATTGGTGGCTCACACCTGTAACTAGCTGCTCAGGAGGCTGAGATCTGAGGATCACAGTTCAAAGCCAGCCTGGGCAGGAAAGTCCATGAGACTCTTACCTCCAATAAACCACTAGAAAACCAAAAGGGGTGCTGTGGCTTGAGTGGTAGAGCTTGAAATGAAGAGCTCAGGGATAGCGGCCAAGCCCAGAGTTCAAGCCCCACAATCGACAAAAAGAAAACAATGGATCGATGTGGGAGAATGATAGAAGAGGTAACATTGACCAAAATGCACTGCACTTACGAACTGATTTGTTGAATTCAAACCCCTTTGTACAACTACTTCAAAGATAATAAAATGTTTATTTTAAAGAGCTTTGAGAATGGATCCAAGACTAGAGAACCTACTACTCAACAGATTTACCTGGCCTACAGAAGGTCCCCGGCTCCATACCAGCACAACCAAAAGAAAACTGGCTCAAGTATGAGGGGCAGAGGGCTCTGAGGATTTTTGATTCCGTACTTTACCAGTTAGAAGGCCAGAGGAGGGTCCCATTGCATAGAAAGGAAAATTGTCCCTTCATGCTCTATGCAAAACAAGTCTCCAACATGATAAAGGAAGCAGACACAGAGAGAAATGTGTGTCCTTTCCACACACTCCATCTGAATATAAGCTTAAGCTCAGAAAAACCTTGATATGCTACCCAAACAAACAAACCTGGCACACTGCTGCTAGGCTACTTTATTCAAAACTCAGATATGACTTGCTAACCCAAGCCCAGTGAATTAGAGGCCTACGGAATAACTATTATTAAATATGAAATCACAAGCTGAGAAAAGAGGTCCCAGAAAATTACCTGGCTTAAGAGTCATCAATTCTGGACTTCAATTCTCATCCCTGTCTCTGACTCATAGTGATCTACCTTTCCCAATGCTTCAATCACACCCTCCTCACCCCAATAAAATGGAGCTAATCACCTGGTTCCTGCTCTAGTTACTGTGATGCTATGAGAATCAAACAGGTAATAAACATAGAAATGCTCATAAATTCTTCTATGAAGAAAGTGATTAAAACAGACTCCAGCAGAAAGAAGCTATTTGGAAAACTGGGCCAAATTCTAAGTCAGTGTTTTGGAGAATGCTGGCTATCTAAGTCCCCGAAGTCTGTGAAAACACAGAATCTGGGGCTGGGAATGGTACTTTGTGATAAACTGCAGGTTTATTTTATTTATTTTACCTTTTGTGTGGTGCTGGGGCTTGAGCTCAGAGGCTGAGAGCTAGCTGTCCCTTAGCTTTTTTTTTGCTCAATGCTGGCACTCTAGCATTTGAGCCACAGTTCCACTTCTGGCTTTTTGGTGGTTAGAGATTAAGAGTCTCTCATAGACTTTTCTGCCTGAGTTGGCTTCAAACCATAATCCGCAGATCTCAACTTCCTAAGTAGCTAGGATTACAGGTGTGAGCCACCAGCACTCAGCTAAAGTGCATACTTAATATGCACAAAACCTCTGGGTTCAATCCCAAGTACCAAAGATTAAAAAAGAAAAAAAAAAAGCAGATTCCCAGCCTCCACCCCAGACCTATAAATTCAAGTCCTTAAGAATGGAGCCAGGGGGCTGGGAAGGTGGCTCAGTGGTAGAGTGCTTGCCTTGCATGCATGAGGTCCTGGGTTCCATTCCTCAGCACCACATAAGCAGAAAAAGCTGGAAGGGGTGCTGTGGCTCAAATGGTAGAGCGCTCGCCTTGAGCTGAAGAGCTGAGGGACAGCGCCCAGGCCCAGAGTTCAGGCCCCACAAACAATACCGACAAAAAAAAAAAAAAGAATGGAGCCAGACATTTTACTCCTTCGGGAAGTTAATGTGCAGTGACATTTGAAAGTCATTCATTTGAAAGGTTCATCTGGAAAAATAATTTCTATGTCAATAAACAAGCATCTGCTCAGATAGAATCTGAAGAGTCTTTGGAGGTGAC